AAGACTTGTTCTTGTCATCAAATATCCTGAAAAAGCATTGTGAGGTGATTCATAAGTTGGAGGCAGTCCTATTTGTAAAGCTCAGTAGGGGTAGCCTCTGATCAGGGGGCTTTTCCGCTGGAAACTTGCTGTACGGCCCTGATGGTTGCTTGAAGAGTGGGTGGGAGATCGAGGTTGGCGTTGGTCTCTACCGGAAGCAGTCGGTCGATGGCAGCATCAGAGATAGTGAAGGGGCGCTTGAGGACGCTTTGGAAGTGCTCGGCTCAGTGCTTCAGAATTTGAATCTTCTCAGTGAATAGAGCAGTTCAGTCAGCGCTGAGGAAAAAAGCGGTTTCTTTAACAGTTATTGATTTAAGGTTTTCAAGTAAAATTTGCCTCATTAGCCATGGTTGAGTATTGCTTAGTTTTCACTGAGAAGCTTTGACTTTGAAGACAGAAAAAACTCTCATCGCGACTTCCATTACATTTTAAAATACAATGATGATGCACAGTGATGAAGCAGTAAGCAGAACTGTTCATGCAACCGCTTCAAACATAATAATACAATTTGAGGTATATCACAGTTACTCGTCCCGATTGAATATAAAGCAAACTATAGGCTCTTAACTAGTTTTTTTGTACATACTGATGCTAATTTGTGATATTTTAACATTTCAGAACTCAGACAGAGCGTGAAGGTTAATGTTTGCTCGATAACAGGGACCCTGTTCCGTATTTAAATATTCATTTTTAAAGAAAATGAATGGTTCTGCGATGTTTTATTTGGCCGTTGTGTCAAATCGGTCCACTAATATTCTTATCACCCCGAGATGTTAGCCAACTTTTAATCGCTTGTTATTTGTATGAATAGGTGCTTTGTCTAATGTCCATGTGAGGTAAGGAGATCCGTTTGAAAGATACCAGTGTAAGCGCTTTTTTATCGTAGACGGAAAATTTTAGATTCAAACTTTGAAATTCGAATAGCCCATTTAATTCAGTGTTCGAAGTGGCGTTGTTTTAAGTTCTTTAGCGTCTACTTTTTTTGTAAATCCTTGATTGACCATCAAAGATCCAATTAGGAACTTGGAGTATTCTGCTTGTTTCTTCTTAAACGCAATCTTTACTTATAAGGAAGCAGTTATTAAAAAGACTGTCTTGATTAACGAATTATTGCCAAATATGCCCAAATTATCAGGAATACTCATGACAAAATTGTCTAATAGAATAAGTCTTGCCTTTGTCTCAAAATGAACAATAAATGCATTGCGATGAACAAATATTTAGATTCCCTTCGTGTTAAAGCGGTCACATCAGATGACCGCAAGAAACACACGGGATAAGCAACAGTCACGAATTTTCAGAGGACGAATTGGCATATACAAGTATATGAGAATGTCCGTGTTACAGTAGTTTCTTACTCGTACTTATGCATCCAGTTAATTTCGGTTTTAAAATTCAACGTCTATTTTTCTGAGAAATTAAAGCGAAACTTGTGCACGGAGCGATTTCATATGCTTTCCTTAAAATATACTGGGCCGTTTATTTTTACCTTTGTTCTCACGAGATATCTATTTTATGATGTTTTTAAAGTCATGACATACTTTACACTTAAGCGCACCGTACATTCAGCAAGCTGACTAGTATTCTGACATGAATCAAAATCTCAGGGATTTAACGGTTCTTTGACTTGGATTGGGTTGGTTTCATACGTTGAAAACTAAATATTAGCCACTCTAATATTATCAAGACAGAGAACGTCAGCCCTAAACGCTTATTAAATTGCAAGACTAACGTGGGTTGAGGTTGCTACGCGACAGTACCTGTGGACTAACTAATTCCACCTCAGTTAATCAGACTTCTGTTTGCACCTAATTCATTACTGATAGACCATCAAGCCTGTATAACTCAGACCCACTCAATATCTGGTCGTCGTTAGTAAGTTAGTGCACGAATTTGTTTATTGTGTCTTGTACCGTCGAAACATATTAAGAAATTTACCGGCAACATTTATGCCCAACTAACAACCTATCATGTAATCCCCGGGGCAGCCGTACAGTCAATTACCTCTAAAATGAAATCCAAGGATTTTTACGAAGAATCCCCTGGTACGCAAAAGCAGCCTAAGC